ATGAGTAATGAACGCAACGTATCGTGATACGTAGAGCATAAGAGAATTTCTTGGTCTTGATACGTTGGTACATGAAGTGTCATGGGGTATCAGAATCATGATACTCTGTGTCACCGCATGTCATTTAGTACCTGGATACGTATACCTGTACCACTGCGTGTCATACGTATCACGGTACAGTATATTTCGAGTGTCGTAATGTATTATTCTAATTTATTATATAATTACCAATGGAAAAAAAAAATAAAAAAAAAATCAAAAATATACATATATTCACATGTGAAAATAACATTAAATTATTTTCAAGTGTGAAGATAACACCATTGCGATTGCTATTCAAAAATACACGGAAAGAATTGCCTGAAAAAACCAAACAYACTTCATTGATAATTATATGATAAACAGAATATTATATGGCCGCTTGGAGATACGAATTTTATGAAAAGATCTCTCACGAGGGAGCGTAGCGAACGAGTGGGAGATTTTCAACACGAGAAGATAAAATCCTCTATTCATATTTAGATTTAGATTTTCAACACGAGAAGATAATATCCTCTATTTATAATGCTGTCACTACGTGTTTCAAATTCGTATTGTTCTACGGAATTGAATTAGTCAATATATCGTCAATTTTCTCTTTTCTCATGCCCTTGTAGCTTAGAATAAACTATACAGAGTAACGCAAAATATATGATATGGAGAAATTTATGACCTTGCTTATTTCTTTTGGACCTTGCATTGAATGATAACGAGTCTTATCATGGCCGTGTTCTTCCAAGTACTATTTTTGAATTATTTGTGGAGATCCCCTAGACCACAGCACAAAAGAACAAGTCTCTGCCTACAGGTGAAGTTGCGACTCTTCTCTGCAAAGCGAGTGCTTSAACCTTCGGCCTTCCTCGAATGTCGGGGCGCCTTAAAAGGTCTTTTGTAGTTCCGAGGAACTTGACGGTGCCTTCACTTGACTGCATGGGAGGTTACTACCGGGACCCAAGGCCACAGATAACGCCGCCGCGCATTGATAGTACCTATTCTTTCGTCATGTGCAGCTGGTCGACGAGTACATCCCACCCCYTCACTATGAGCTAAGATTTGTGTCCCATGTGGGACCGGAGAACAACTTGCGAAAATCTCCTCTTGTAGCCGCATATTCATAGCATGTACCAATTCTTTCRTCAAATGCAACTAGTGACTGTTTCTTTATCCAATATGAGTTAATAGGTATATCACATACGCAAAAATCTATAAAAATCTTTATACGCATGCGCAGTTTGGAAATTTGAAAAAGCGATTGTTCCTATAACGTAGAACCAAACAAAACAAATGAAAAAACACAAACCGAAAAATTGCAGGCTTGAATTACACGAATTACGGCTCTAAATACCCGAGACAAGAATCAAAGAAAAAACTTATGTATACATACACGTTAACACAGTGTAAAATTAAGATGTATCAGAATTCTTCAAGAAATGTTCATTTGGGGTCAGTTGTTTTATCTTGCATTGCATTTCAAAACAATAGTTGTTTTTTTTTAAATAATGAAGTAATAATATACTAACAGCTAGAATAAACACCTGGTACAATACGAGACAATGTTATCATTTTTTCATCAAAAATACTATCATTGCAATTTCTGGATATACTATACTCGAATATCTAACTATAAACATCATCTTTATACAAACTACACAAGCTAGAGTGAAATCAGAAACCTTGAAATAAGGTTTACTGACAGTAAGACAAATTCAAAGAAAACAATAGAATTATAATATCTATTTCCCAGGTCAGTGACTCCACTCTCTCTTTCTCTGTCTATCTATGTTTAATATATATATATAAACATCAGTTTTATGTAAATGTATTCTCATCATATGTAAATACAGATAATGGATTAGGTAAAGCAACAGTAAATTTTATGTTGGTTTTTAGTGAATATCTGTTATAATTTATAACATTGTGGATTTTGGCAAGGGAATAATGACATTGACCTTTTCTTTTTGTCTACTTGATGCCAAGATTACAGTCTTAACTGCAACACAACTTTCCTGAATTCTAGCTACTGGCATAAAGTTAGCATATGGAGGGRCAGAATACTCAAAGTCAGTAGACCAGACTTGAAGTGGAGATGAGTACCTAGCTGTGCACAACGGGTGCTTAACAAACCAATCTACTTTTGCCAAAACATGAGTTATTCTTTCGGACTTGCCATTTTCTTTACCTAAAACAATGTCATGCGAAAGAAATTCCCTAATTACGGCTGGTCTTTTGCCACCATCAAACCAAACTGCAAAAACCGTAGAGGCCTGTTGGTTATCAGTTGGATGGGATTTATAATGACAACCAGAAAGAAGAAGATGTTTAAATTTCTGACAAAAACTCGACACATGAAGAATTCTATGATTAGGATAAACATATTCATACATGTGCCTTAATTTTGTAACGTATAGAGCATTGACAGCAGTTTTACAAATTGGGGGCAGGGGAAATTCAGCCTCACTCTTTGAGAAGTTAATTTCTTGGGGGTTTCCATCCACTGATGCTGCAGTGGCTGTAAAAAGCTTAGGATCTACAGTTGTTTGTAAAAGTGTTC